ATATATCTGATTTGTTGGATGTTAACATCAATGTAAAGATCAGAAGTAACCTTGTCATGGCTTTGTGATTTCGCCGGGATTTAAAATATTCGCGATTTAATGAAAAATTTTGAATTTTTTCAAAACAAAAGATATGGTCTATTTTACCCGCTGAAAATTATCCGATGATAAGCCCTAAACTCTAGCCCTAAACTCTAGCAACGAAATCAGCAAAAAAGGCAGAAGTTCGCATTTTGTGTATTTCGGCTATCGCCTGTAAGTAATGTTGGTATTTTTCAGACAAAAGTAGTGGTCCATTCTACCCGCTGTCCTAAACTCTAACTTCATGCGAGATTTCGTGTCCATTCGTTTCTATTTGTGACCTTTATAACGGCTGCAAAATCAGGAACATTTTAGTTATTGGTCCATTTCAACCCCTAAATATATTGCGGACATCTTTGAAAACAATAGGCCTAGCCCTTCTGAGCCTAATCCTACCCTTTTCGTGAGGATCGGACGATAATTGCAATCTGTATATAATATCCCAAACCTGTGTTGTAAGGTGGAAAAATATTACAAAATATACACCTTAATATTATAAGTCAAATTGAAAAAATCGCATGCGATAAAAAATATGAAAAAATAAAAAAAAAATGTCACAAAATACTACAAAATCTATATTAACATCATTTTTGACTTATTTTAATGCGATTTTTTTAGATTTTATACTTTAATGTCAAGAGGGCATTCTGAATTTACAAAATTTGTCAAAATCGGTCCAGCCATTCTTGAGATATAAGCATTCCATCTAACATTCCTTTCCTTTGTATATACACATTGTATATATTTCGCTACATATATCCGATATATTTACTATCGGCATCTACCTAACGGTCAGAATTGACCTGTTCGTCTATTTATGAGTTCGCCGGGACTAAAAATATTCGCGGTTTAATGGAAATTTGACTTTTATTTAATACAAATGTTATAGTCTTTTTCACCCACTAAATATTACCCGATGACCATCAAAATCGGAAGGCTTCTGCCCAGCCCGGAGCTTTAGCCCCATGGTAATTTCCGCGTCGATTGGTCCATAATTGCGACGTATAGATCAACTGCAAAATCAGGATTTTTTTCAGTTTTTGGTCCATTTCGACCACTAAATATTGTGCGATCATCTCCAAAAGAAATAGGGTTCTATTCTGGCCTTAACCCCACCTCCATTCAAAATTTCGTGAAGATCGGGCCATAATTGCGACCTGTAGAGTGATTACAAATTAACATGGACAGACGGACAGACGGACGGACGGACATACATAGCTAGATCGACTCAGCTCGGCGAGATAGAAAGATCCATATATAGCATTTTCAGATTAAATGAAACCTTTTGCAATTCAAATGAAACTTTTTGCAGCGGGAATGAAACCTTTTGCAGTGGAATTGAAACCTTTTGCAGTGGAAATGAAACCTTTTGCAGTGGAAATGAAACCTTTTGCAGCGGGAATGAAACCCTTTGCAACCGAAATGAAACTTTTTGCAAATCAAATTAAACTTTTAGATTTTTAGAAGAAAAAATAACAAAACATTTTTATTTTCAGTAGGTTTAAAATTAAATCAACTAATTATAACTAATATATAGTTAAAGAGGAATTTTTATTTATTAGTAATGCCTATGTTCCTATAAAAATTTTAAAGCTTCCATAAAACACAAGTGTAGATGCAGAAAGATTGAAAAAAGTTTTTCAAGGTATTTTTTTCGAAGGACCCGAATTAGGTACCTTTTTATAATCTCCTCCATGGAAAGGAGGATATATTAAATTTGTCATTCGGTTTGTAACACCTCTAAATATTCGTCGTAGATCCCATAAAGTATATACAATCCTGATCATAGTTGATTTAATGATTTCCACTTATCTGTCTATTGAAATCACGACTGCTCTATCTCCATATCGTTAAGCATTTGGAATTTAATAGCATTTTATATCAAATCAATAAATAACCATTTGTTATTACAATAATTGAAATTTTAAGAAATAATATAAATAAATGTAGATATTTATAATCAATAAAAAATCCTCTTTGTCAATATAATAGTTATAATTAATTGATTTAATTTAAAAAATACTAAAAATAAAAATGTTTTGCTATTTTTCCTTCTATAAATTTAAAAGTTTCATTTGATTTGCAAAAAGTTTCATTTCGGTTGCAAATGGTTTCATTTCGGTTGCTAAAGGTTTCATTCCCGCTGCAAAAGGTTTCATTTCCACTGCAAAAGGTTTCATTTCCACTGCAAAAGGTTTCAATTCCACTGCAAAAGGTTTCATTCCCGCTGCAAAAAGTTTCATTTGAATTGCAAAAGGTTTCATTTAATCTGAAAATGCTATATACTTTCCTATTTGGGAAATCAATATTTCGAGGTGTTACATAATTTTTGGCCCAATCAAACTTATAATACCCCCAACACATAGTGTTGTAGGGTATAAATATATCACGATGTATTAAGTCTGGACCAAATCGAATACGCTATTCGAGAGTTATCGTGCGCACCAGCCAGACAGGCAGACGGACGGACGGACATCGCTAGATCGACTGCAAATCTCCTGAAACCGATTTGGTGCCAGATACCTAAGCCATTATTTCGATGTGGCACGTTTTGGCCGTATCAAATAATATATACCCTCTTAGATATATGGCTGTGGGTATAACAAGTAAGTAAAGGCTATAGTGGTGCGGAAAGAAACATTTTGGAAAGCCCCAAACTTATTTTGGTCGTTTTCGTTTTTAAAGTAATGCCATACAGTCCTGCAAAAAGTTACCTTTGTTTTTATTACACGTTGCTTGGCCCTATTCCTCTGTCTTTAAAAAAATTTCACACAAAAGTTATGGTCTATTTTACCCGCTAAATATTATCCGATGGTCATCCAAAATGATGGGTTTCTGAGCTGTTAATAACTCCAAAATTCCATATTGATTGATCTTTAATTGTTACCTGTAGATCGACTGTAAAATCAGTTAAATTTTCAGATTTGGTCCATTTCAACATCTAAATATTTTGCGAATATCTGCAAAAGCAATAGGCTTCTATTCAGGTCCTAAGACAACCCCATGAAAAATTTCGAAAGTATGGAAGGAAATTTCGACCTGCTGTGAGGATCGGGCCCAATCAACCTTATAATACCTCTAAATACATAGTGTTGTAGGTTATTATTAGAAAAAAATTTGGGAATTTTGATTTAAACATTTTTCCTTGATTCAGTTAACATGGTCCTGCTTTTTATACCCTCCTCCATACTATGGAGGGTATATTAATTTTGTCATTCCGTTTGTAACTCCTCGAAATACTCATGTCAGACCCAACAAAGTATATATTCTTGATCAGCGTAATGTCCGTCAGCCATGTCCGTCTTTCTGTCTATGTGTCTGTCTGTCTATCCGTCTGTCTGTCTGTTGTAATCACGCTATCTTTCGAACAAATTGAGATAGAGATTTGCACACATGTATATTTTGCCAGTAGGCAGGTTAAGTTCGTAAATGGGCCATGTAGGTCCAAGTTATCATATAGCCCCCATATAACGGTACCTCCCGATATTCGGTATTTTGATGATTTTAGCGACATTATTCACCGGAATTGTTTCCAATTTGGCATTTGAAGTTCGTAATGGATACTACATCCTAAGTCAAAAAATGAGTCATGTAGGTCCACGTCTTCATATAGCCCCGATATAACGGTACCTCCCGATATTCGGTATTTTGATGATTTTAGCGACATTATTTAACGGAATCGTTCCAAATTTGGTATTTGAAGTTCGTAATAGATACTGCAGCATAAAACAGAAAATGGGCCATGTAGATCCACGTCTTCGTATAGCCCCCATATACTGAACCCCCCGATATTCGGTATTTTGATGATTTTAGCGACATTATTTATCGGGATTGTTTCAAATTTCGCATGTGAAGTTCGTAATGGTTACTTAAGCCCATGCCAGAAAATTGTCTGTGCAGGTCCACGCCTTCATATAGTCCCCATATAACAGTGTTCAGGCATTTATATTGAGATGTTGAGTTACATACTATAGAGGGTACATTAACCTTGTCATTCCGTTTGTAACTCCTCGAAATACTCATGTCAGAACCAACAAAGTATATATATTGCTGATCAGCGTAAAATTTTAAGTCGATTTAGCGATGTTCGTCTGCCTATTCGTCTGTCTGTTGTAATCATGCTATCTTTCAAAAGAATTGAGATAGACGGCTAAAATTTTGCACGCATATTTATTTTGCCAGTAGGCAGGTTAAGTTCGTAAATGGGCCATGTAGGTCCACGTTTTCATATAGCCCGCATATAACGGTACCTCCCGATATTCGGTATTTAGATGATTTTAGCGACATTATTCACCGGAATTGTTTCAGATGTGGTATTTGAAGTTCGTAATGGATACTATAGGCCTCATATATCAGTACCTCCATATATTCGGTATTTTGACGATTTACCGAAATTATTTGAGATGTCCTATTTGAAGTTTGTAATGGATGCTACAGCCTGTGACAGAAAATTGTCTATGCAGGTCCAAGCCTTCGTATAGCTCCGATATAATGGTACCTCCTAATATTCGGTATTTTGATGATTTTCAAATTACGTATTTAGAGTTCGTAATGGGAATTATAGTCTGTGACAGAAAATGGTCTACGCAGGTCCAGATCTTCGTAGAGCCCCCATATATCATTACCCCCCTATATTAGGCATTTTGACGATTTTAGGTACAATACTCACCGAAATTGTTTGAGATGTCGTATTTGAAGTTCGTAATGGATGCTACAGCCTGTGACAGAGCCTATGTAGGTCCACGTCGTATAGATCCCAATATAACAACTATATTCGGTATTTTTAAGATTTTAACAGAATTTTAAACGGATTTTATTTTTTGAAAATTTCCAAATTCGTTCCAAATAGTGGAGGGTATTTAAAGTTCGGCCCTGCCGAACTTACTGTTTTTTAACTTGTTTTTTTTTTCGTAATTACATCACTTCAACTTAATAAATTCACCCAATACTTGATAGCATATTTCACTTGGTCGATATTGTAGTGTTACTGGATCCATTGCCCGAAATCGGGTGACCAATTTATAACGACCCTCCATGTTGGCCGGAAAATCGAACACCGTATCTACCGTGAAGTCATTGTAGTGGTAGACTTGCTGTAGTTGCATAAAAAAATAAAAATCAGTATCTTGCAGAAATTCCATAGCAACCATACCATACCCCATAAGTATTAATACATTTCCGTTCGTGTTCTGGTACATTTTTCGTCCACAATTGATACCAATCGGTTTTGGGATCAAATTGGACCTTACAAAAGTCCATCGCCACCATTAGTATGGGAGTTGGCTGCCAGTCACCACGCTGGAATTTGTGCAACTCACCATGGCCCTGTAGATAAAAATTATTCAATAAATTGTGACAATTTTCCGCCTCATCTTTGTGTTTTACTTGAACTATATCTGTTGACTTGACACCTTCCCAGACATTGGTGGAATTTCCTCGAATGCCCACCCTGCCGTCTTGAAATTCCATATGCAACTCTTTAAAATCCAACAAATGGTCCATACCTTTCGATCCTGGTATGTGGGTACAATCATCGAAAATTCTATCGTTATCCAGAATAAACTCAAAGCGCGCGCCATCCACCGAAGAGTGATGTAGCAGAAGAAATAAAAATATTATAAAATATTTACGCTGTTTCGACATTTCTTTACAATAAACAATTTATTTTTACTGCGGGGAAATCATTTCATGCAGGGTTTATATCGAATTCTCATAGCCGATTTGGTCGATTAATTTTTATTAGGCATCATGTTTTGGATATATATTAATGCGATATCATTACGATAACCTTTTGTTATCCGATCAATGTCTGAAACAAAGTATTTTTTTTAAAAAGGTATTAAACGATTTTATTTTTAAACAGAGATAATGTAGCGAAGCAGTATGTAGAACATTCTCTCGGAATGGGAAATTTCAAGCCGAGATGATGGTAAAGATGCTGAGATGAAAAAACTGCAATTGACTGCAGTCATTTCTAAGCCACTCGTCCGACAGCTGTTAAAATTATTCCAGTGAAAAAAAGTTATTCGTGATGGAATTCAAACGTGATAGTGTGATTTCAGCAGCAACATCAGCAGAAATGGTTCGAAAAGTAAAGAAGCGACTTGATCCCGCATCGCAGTGGCTGAAAAATGGCCCTTGAGCTGAACATCTCGCAATATTCCATTCGGCAAATATTGAAAAATGAGCTCAAGGTAAAGCCATTGAAATTCCAAAAACTGCAAGAACTTACACCGCAACAGAAAGAAAAGTTGCTTCGCTTGGCCGAAAGTGGTATGAACTGCCGAATTTGGTTTTCTCCGAAGAGAAAACATTCGTTGTCCAACAAACAAAATGATCCTGTTTACTTGCCACAGAGGTCAGCTGAAAATGTGCACCTTCGGTTGGCCACCAGAACTCAAGCGCCGGCCATGGTGATGGTGTGGGCCACCATAACAGCCGATGGTCGCTCTCCGCTTGTATTAATCGACTGTGGCATCAAAATAAATGCCAAATATTATCGCGAAAATATTCTGGAGGGTGTATTAAAGGTTTGGGCGCGCAAACATTTTGGCTGCAGACCTTGGACATTTCAACAGCACCATCGCACCCAAGAATGCTTAAAAAATGAGGTTCCTCGCTTCATTTCCAGCGCACAATAGCCACCAAAATCTCCGATACTGTTGTGTCTGGAGTATTTTGGAAAGCAAGGGTGGCACTAAAAAATACCAAAGTGTCGATCACCTCAAGCAAGCGCTTCGCCGGAAATGGGCCAAAATACTGCGGGCAGCGTGTTACTTTTTCATTGGCCGTTTGAAAGCCATAATTCATGCCAAAGGTGACCAATTCGAACAAATCTAAACTTATTCTAAAATTTGATGCTATTTCCGATATTGTTTGCTTTCATTCAATAAAATTTACAACAAAAATTTAAAAAATATGGTGTTTGACTTTGTCGCAGTTTTTTTATTATCTCACCCTGTATCCATTGTTTTGAAAAAAAAAATATTTTGAGAATTAAAGATTAGAAGAATGTGTGATACCACGGTCAATTAATACGAGCGGAGAGCGACCATCGGCTGTTATGGCGGCCCATACCATTACGATGGCCGGCGCTTGAGTTCTGGTGGCCAACCGAAGGTGCACATTTTCAGCTTACCTCTTTGGCAAGTAAACACGATCATTTTGTTTGTTTACAAACTGCTGGACAATGAATGTTTTCTCATCAGAGAATACCAATTTCGGCAGTTCACCACTTTCGGCCAAGTGGAGTAACTCTTAAGCTCTTTTGAATCTATTTTCTTTCTGTTGCGGTGTAAGTTCTTGCACTTTTTGGAATTTCAATGGCTTTACCCCGAGCTCATTTTTCAATATTTGTCGAATGGAATATTGCGATATGTTCAGCTCACGAGCCATTTTCGGCCACTTTGACGCGGGTTTCGATCAAGTCGCTTCTTTACTTTTCGAACCATTTCTGCTGATGTTGCTGTTTTCTTCCGTCCATTTCCTTGACGTCGAGCTATGCTACCAGTATCACGGTAATGAGCGATTATACGAGACACAAAAGATTTATTAACATTTAAATGCTGGAATGCTCTAACTGTAGCTACTTGTGGTTTTCCGGCCAAATATAAAGATAAATCACACTATCACGCTTGAATTCCATCGCGAATAACTTTTTTTCTGGAAAACTGTAACCAAAATGCTTTTAATGATGCTTTTAATAATGAGCTGTCACTGGAATGATTTGAAGTTGGTTGCAGTTTTTTCATCTCAGCCTGTATAGTCCTTAATACCCTCCACCATTCTATGGAGTCATTCTGTTTGTAACTCCTCGAAATATTCATAATAAATGTTTTGGATCAGCGTAAAATTCTAAGACGATCTAGAGCTGTTTGTCTGTCTGCATAGTTTACCAGTAGGCAGGTTAAGTTCGTAAATGGGCCATGTCGGTACACGTTTTGGTAAAGCCCCCATATAACCCCCCCATATAACTCTGTATTTTCATGATTTTTGAGACATTATTTTTCGTAATTGTAACAAATTTCGTATTTGGAGGGTATTAAAGGTTCGTCCCGGCCAAACTAAGCTGCTTTTTTAATTGTTTTGTTATGGAAGCTCTACTAAACATGAATAGTGGTGTAGTGATCATATAGTCGGCCCCGTCAGACTTTTGAACTTTCCTTACTGTTTTGGTGGTTGAAAAAGTTGTCTTTAATCATAATAATACTGAATATCGGAAGGTATTGATGTATGAGAACTTTGCGAAAGCGACTAGGCAATTATTAGACCAAGAATTTTATTATCTATTGCGAGTTCCAAAAACCAACTATAAAATATACCATATTTGGACTAAATGTACAGTGCTACGCCAGGGTGTTTTGCATCCAGAGGAGTTGCAAATGGAATGATAAACTTAATAATTTCTTTAGACTATTGTGAAGATGATAATCTCAAGATTCTGGCTCCGAAAAATATATACCATTCAACTATAAGGCTATATTTGTTTTATATTTTGAGGCGAACTAATATTTTTATCTCTTAAAATATCTTCTTTGCCCACCGAACTAAAACACAAAGTTACATACCCGACTAAGGTACGATTATATTCTTTACATCTTTTTCTAGTTGCTTAGTTTTAGGTTTTTCTTTACTTTTATTGTTATTTAGTTGAGCTGTTGTAAATTTCCTAATATGAGTTTTAGTCATAGCTTATACCTGCTGGCACCAGCAGCAGGTTCAAAAATATATGTATGCATTGTGTTGACATTCTGCTCAACTGATGTGGTTTTGTTTAGTCAACTTCGAAGAAAACAAAGAAAACCAGTAAGGAAAGCTCAAAAGTCGGGCGGGGCCGACTATATGATACCCTACACCACTATGCATATTTAGTAGAGCTCTCATAAAAAGGTTTATACAGGACATATCAGAGCTCTATGAGATATTTGGTACAAAATCAAAATCTATCTAATTCTATCGTGCATTTTACGAACTATAGCTATCTCTGAACCGGGTTTCTCCAAATTTGACGTATTAGCTTCTAGACTGAATTCGGTCCTATGTACGAAAATTCAGGTGATTTGGGCTGATATTGGCCATTTGATGCACAATTAACACGAAATCGGATGAAGATTTATATTGGAGGCATATCCAAATCGGAACAGATTTTAATAAAATTAAAATCAACTATTTTTGGGCTTTATCTGATATCTGGTACCAAATATCATTCCTGTGGAGTGCATATTACGAATGTGAGGGACTTAAAGACCAAATCGGATGAACGATATATATGGGAGCTATATCTGAACCGATTTTTAATAAAATTGGTGTACTTGCTTCTAAGCTGATTTCGGTCGGATTTACCAAAATTGATGCTATTACGGCCATTTGGTGGTCAATCACCCGAAATCGGATGAAGATATATATGGGAGCTATATCCAAATCTGAACCGATTTCGATAAAATTTAAAACAGCTATTCCTGTGCTCCATCTAATACCTGGTACCAAATATCACGGTTGTGGAGTGAATATTACGAATGTAAGGGACTAAAACACTAAATCGGATGAAACATATATATGGTTGCTATATCTATATCTGAACCGATTTTCACTAAATTTGATATACTTGCTTCTAGGCTGAATTTGGTCCGATGTACTAAAATTCAGTCCATTTGGACTTATATCGGCCATTTGGTGCACAATTGACCCGATATCGGATGAAGATATATATGAGAGCTATATCCAAATCTGAACCGATTTCGATAAAATTACAAACATCTATTTCTGTGCTCCATCTAATACCTGGTACCAAATATCACGCTTGTGGAGTGCATAGTAGGAATGTGAGGAACTTAAAAATCAAATCGGATGAAAGATATATATGGGAGCTATAGCTATATCTGAACCGATTTTCTCCAAATTTGATATACTTGCTTCTAGGCCGAACTCGGTTGGGTGTGCCAAAATTCAGGTAATTTGGACTGATAGTGGACATTTGGTGCACATTTAACCCGAAATCGGATGAAAATATATATGGGAGCTGTATCCAAATCTGAACCGATTTCGATAAAATTTAAAACAGCTATTTCTGTGCTCCATCTAATACCTGGTACCAAATATCACGGTTGTGGAGTGCATAGTAGGAATGTGAGGGACTTAAAGATCAAATCGGATGAAATATATATATGGGAGCTATAGCTATATCTGAACCGATTTTCTCCAAATTTGATATACTTGCTTCTAGGCCGAACTCGGTTGGGTGTGCCAAAATTCAGGTAATTTGGACTGATATCGGCCATTTGGTGGTCAATTAACCCGAAATCGGATGAAGATATATATGGGAGCTATATCCAAATCTGAACCGATTTCGATAAAATTACAAACAGCTATTTCTGGGCTGTATCTTATATCTGGTACCAAATATCATTCTTGTGGAGTGCATATTACGATTGTGAGAGGCTTAAACACCAAATCGGATAAAACATATATATGGGAGCTATAGCTGTTTCTGAACCGATTTTCTCCAAATTTGTTGTATTTGCTTTAAGGCTAATCTCGGTCACATGTGCCAAAATTAGGGCTATTTGGGCTGATATTGGCCATTTGGTGGTCAATTAACCCGAAATCGGATGAAGATATATATGGGAGCTATATCCAAATCTGAACCGATTTCGATAAAATTTAAAACAGCTATTTCTG